TCCCCATCGAATGGATTTAACCCCTTGTTGAAAATTAGCTGCCCACGGATGGATTTACTTTTGAATTCTCAATCGTATTCCATTGGTATTTTTCCCCCCATTCTTTGATCTTAAGCTTATGTTTTGGTGGCTAAAGTGTGTCTCTTATAGACAACATATTGATAGGTCATGTTTTTTATCCACTTAACCTTTTGATTGGTGATTTAATCCATTGAAGTTCAATGTCATTATCAACAGGTGTCTGAGTCAGGTTTTATGGGCCAGAATTTGCCCATGATATGATCTAACACAACTTGGTCAACTCCATGACGGGATCTTCTGTGAAGCTGCCAAACGATTGTGGGGAACACAGGGTAGAGTACTGCTTCCTTGCAACACTGGGCTCAGGCACTGGAAGAAGTGTGAGGATGGTGCAGGACCATGCAGTGTTTCATCTTGTTGTGCACAGGGTCACTATGGGTCAGAAATGACTTGATGGCACTTAACACCACCACCATCAACCACCTCCTTAATCTGCTCACAGCCCTGATACCATTGAAGGCTTCATTCAGGTGTGGCCTTCTTCTGGTAGATACGGGCACGGTGTGGAAGCTAGCTCACTTCCTCTGCTGGATCTGGACCCTGCATCTGGTTTGCTGACCTCCTCACTTATTGCCTGCTGAGGCTAGGAGCCATCAGCAGAGTGCTGCACCTGGATTCATTTGGCCAACCCCAGATTCCCTCAGCTTTGCATCCACCAGCCTAAGGTCTTCTTGCTTCCTGTTTCATAGGCCCAAACAGCTACATAGGTCAGGAGAGATCTGCAGCTTCCATCCTACAGACCCACGGCTGTGAACCAGACTAGACTTACCCACTTCCATGGGAGCCATTTCTTGATATAAATCTCTTCCTATACACATGTTCATAAAAGCATCGCTGGTTTTGTTTCTCCAGCAGACCTAGCCTAACACAACAGGTATGAATTTACCGCTGTCATTTTTCTATACTCTTTGTGTGTGGTGTGAACAGTCTCTTGGTTCCTCTTCAGGAAGGGAACATTCTGTTCCCCACAGTTTTTTTTGGAAGCGCCCTTCACTTTCTGTGCTGAGCTTGTTGTGTCTGTGGACTCTTTTTTCCTTTCATTTGTTATTGTGGTGTTTGAGTTTCTGTTTTCACTGATCTTAAATTTTTTCTTCTTTATTTTGATGAGTGGATTGATTTCTTTTATTTGTGGTCACCCTGAAGTTTACATCTATTATCCTCAATTTAAACCAGGCTCTTATAGCTTGAGATTGCCTTGACTTCCTTCCTGTGTGCGAGCTGCATAGCTACAACATTCATCTCCCCTTATGGTTTGAGGTTATCATTGTTTACATCTTCATAGTTTTGCTTCTGTTTAGTCAACGTTTTAGCTTTATTTTACCTTTTAAAGCCTTTGCCTGACTTGTCTTTACCTTGGGTTGTTGTTGGGTTTCTATCTAAAAGACATCCCTTAACATTTCTGGTAGGGTTGGTCTGGAGGTTAAAGACTCCCCTAGTTTCTGTTTATTAGGGAATGTCCTAATTCTGTCCTATTTCTGAAAGCCAGGTTTTGTGGCTACATGATTCTTAGCTTGCAGCTCTTTTCTTTCGGGGCTCTGTGCAGGCCATCCCATTGTGTGCTTCTCTGCATAGTGTCTATTGAGAAAGCAGCTCTTAGTTGGACTGTGGATGCCTTGTAGGTGGTATTTTGCTCTTCTGGGAAGTCTGATTCTGATTTATCTCGATGAATTTCTTTGGAGTTCCTTGAGTTTCTTGGATGGAACTTTTCTCATCCTCAAATGGCCACACTGCACTGGGCCAGTGGGAAGGGGATCATTGCTGTATGGATCTCTGTTTTCCCACTGCCCTAACTGCATTTCAAAATAAGACATTAGAAATAAGCTGACTTTGCGGAGTAGACACACAACGGACCATTGCTCAGCAAGAAAGAGTGATGAAGTCCTGATACATGCTACTGCTACCGCATGGATTAACCCTGAAAACATGCCGACGGAGTAAATTGATCATAATTCTCACTATGCTAAATATCTAGGATAGACAACTGCACAGAGATCAAAGTTTATTAGTAGTGGTTACCAGGGGTACAGGGATGAGGAAATGGGGAGTTGTCGTTTAGGAAGTCTTGCATCTTTGTTGAAAAGCGATATATATATATTTGCAACAAATATCGGTGATGGTGGCACAACATGATTAATGTAATTGGTTTCAATAAATTGTATACATGAAAAATACTGATTTGGCAAATACTGTTATACAAGGGGGCTTCAAAGGGCTCATGAAAAACTCCACTCTTTTAATTCCACTTTTCTATAAACTTTTAAAAAGCCCCCTCAACTATATTTGTACAAGGCTAGAGTAATGAAAAAATAGCTTCCACATGAAAAAAGCTGATTTATTCCTATATAAAAGAGATAATCCAGTCCTGCCATTTAACACTAAGAAAACCTTGATCATCCTTCATCTTTTCAAGGTGACAGGAGTAGGTAACACTTGTCTGAAGCAAAATTTATGATTATTACTTTTTAAGCATGGAAGAAATACTTGATAAAGTTGTCATTTAGGACTTTACCATGTAATACATTCAATTACTGAGCTTACCTCCGAACCCATCGGGCACGTAAGTTTTCAGCACAATGTTGCAGAAAATGGTTGGCAGCGAGAGCGGCTTGTTGCCTTCGTTTCTCAGGGAGATGTGTCGGTAGCCTGCCTGGAGGCCGTCCAGGGGCAGGAGCCTCTGGCCAATCAGCTTGTTGTTGTCGTCGTACACCGCTATTCTCAAAACAGCCAGGTCTGGGAGGATCACCTGCAAGCAAAGGCCAGGGCATTTTGTTGATTAAAAACAAAACAAAACAAGAGTCACCTGTGCAGCATACCCACCCAAACAGCTGCCAGTGTAGTAACTTACAATCTACAAAGCGCAGACGCTGACTACCATTGTCAAGCCGTGCGATCACTATGGCTAACTTTGTCCTCACATGGCTTTTCCAGAATCTCAGTGTCCCCCAAGTAACAACGCCCTCCTCCTTACCTACTCTCTGGACCTGATAATAATGAATATGTTCGATTTCTGGATATTTATTTCTGTATAATAATGAATATGTTCGATTTCTGTTTATTTCATGGGAAAGTTTCATGGGAAAATTCTGTTATCTTTCAATTCCATTTTCCCATGAACTTTTGAAGCCCCTTCATATAAGTGAGATCAGATGGTATTTATCCTTTCATGACTCATTTGTTTGGCCCAGCATGGCACTGTTCAGCTTCATCCGTATTCTGGCGTACATCAAAACCTCGCTCTCCTTATAGCTGTGCAGTGCCCCATTGTGTGCATGCCGACTACCTTGCGGATTCATTCACCTCTCGCTGTACGAGTTGGCCATCTCTGCGGCTGGGCTCTTGCGAGTGGAGGCGCAGGCAACACCGGGGCAGCTGCATTTTGTGCTGCGGATTTCCAGCCTTTTGGGTGAGATTTCTCTTAAGGGCAAAACTGCTGGGTCACGGAGCAGTGAGTTCTGTGTTCGACAAGGTAAGGGATTGCCAAAGTGCTGTCCATCGTGCGTAGCAATGGCACCAGTCATTCCTGTCAGCGATAGGTATGGGTTCCAGGGTTCCAAAACCTTTCCAACACTTGGATCTCTTTTCCTCTATTTAATTGCCATTCTAATGGGGGTGAGGTGATAGCTCCTTGTGATTTTGATTCACATCTCCCTAATAGTGATTGATATTGAACTTCTTGTATGTGCTTCTTGGTCACTTGACTACCCTCTTTGGTGAACTGTTGAAGTCCTTTGCCCATGTTTTTGGTTAGTTATCTTGTCTGTTTTACTCTTATTAAGTATACACACACACACACACACACACACACACACACACTATCTTTATAACATATCTATATTATTAGGGCTTTTCTAATAGCACATATGCTATTGTATTATGATATATACAACCTATTACTGTAGAATACTATATATTATAAATAATAACATATATGTCATTAGACCTTTATCTGGCATAAGGTTTCCAAAACATCTCTTCTAATCGGGGGTTGTCTTTTCCCTTTGTTGATAAACTCCTCTGGTGTACAAATTCACTGATTTTTAAAACGCTCTTCCCCCAAATCACACTCTAGGAATCTGAACCATATATATCCACGTCGTTACTGTTGTAGGGTGCTGAGGAGTCCATGCGGATGCCTAGTGACCCCACATAACTGAGTACAACTGCCCTTAGGATTCTCTTGACTACAATCTTTACGGAAGCCAATTGCTAGGCCATTCTCCCAAGGAGATGCTGGGTGGTTTTGACCCACCAGCCTTTGGGTTAGCAGGCAGGTGTCAAATCCAAGTGTTAACTATTGTGAGAAACCCATACTTCTCTCAAATAGTCTTTTATAGTGAAAATAAATCACCAATAAATTTTCATGCTTACAATGTACTGTAAACGCTACAGTATCCAAATCCATGAAAGAGGCAATGGAACAGGGTCCCTCAAAAATTTTAGATATCATGAATGATAAAGTTACTAGTGTAATCCTTATCATTCCTTCCCATCCTGACGCAGGCAAAGAAACCGACACCCTAGAAAAGTGAGAAACTTTCTTAATCTTATAGATAGTCAGTGATGGAGCTAGGTCTGGGAATCAGGTCTCCGACTAATCTTGGGATCTGTTTCCTCCTAGATGCCCTGTGTCAGTGATCGAGTTCCAGCTTCAGAGACAAAAGATAATCTAGATATAAATTTGGAGTCTCTTTGCTTCTTACATTCCTCAGTTTTGAACTATTCTGGGATAAAAATACATTAAGATAGGGCATCAAGAAATAATAACACACAGTGCCCCTAAGGCATCTACTCCGGCCATCCACAAAATGAACAAACAGACAAAAAGTCTAAGGCCAAATGGCAGCATAGATAAAATCACACCATGATGAGAGCAAATGCTCTGCAGTCAGGAATGCCTTTTTACTCACTGAGAGCAAGCCAGGTCCAGTTGGTTGCTTTGAGTACATAGGTAACGCTCGACCAGTGGATGTGCTGTCTACTTAACCCGGGACATTTTACTTTCATTCCACCTTCATACACATGAAGAGGAGAAGTCAACTTAAAAGCCGGCCAAGTTTACTAAGTCCATTTTTTCATGCAGTGGCGGGCTTTACTACTCTCATGAGGTTCATGTAAATAACGACAGTCATCATGTGAACACAAACACAGTAAAGCCCTTGATAGCAATGAAAGGCAGCAGTGATGCTGCGGGATTGGCACCATGGTCCCGGGTAAACATCAGTACAGAAAACAAGCTTGCTAATTCGGGCCTTCTTTATTTATTAAAACAAAGAACGCCTGCTTTCTGCATTTCTCTGAGCATGTGATGGGTTGTTCACTCTGCTGAAGAACACCAGCCACCCCAGAAAATGTTTAATTCACCTATCATGAATTATAAAACTTAGGGAATAAAAACGTATAAGGCAGGGTTATGCATGCAATCTACACTGTACCCGGATAGTATACAGAAGGCTATCTGGGAAATGATAGCAACATCATTGGTAACCTTACATTTTAAAATGGCTGGTGTCACTAAACCTACATTGGTCTTCCAAACTCTGGTTTCTGGAAGCCCGCTTCTCAATTTGGAAGCAGACAACCCTATTTTGTTAAAACTGGAATCTGACTATGACATATAAACGGGGCAGAACCACCTGGAGGAACTGTGCCTAACCAAGAAGCAAGTCATCCTTGTTGTCAGGACGACTGAACAAGCAATGGAGGCACAAGCAAATGCTCTTGGAGACAGCTCTGCCAGCCCAGCACCTGGACTCTTGAGATGAGACTTCACGGGAAAAAGAGAAACAACGAGCTAACTAAACATCACAGAAGAGAGTTTCTGACTCTTCTTCGGGCACACCATCCAGCACTGGGAGGAAAATAAAAAACAGGAGCACATTTTCTGGAGGTACAGCAGCAAGCCAATTGGCCAATGTACGAGCACTCACAGACTTGATTTTTCACCGAGCACATCACTCTCTGTACTAGCTGCAGAAAACAGTACAAGGAACCAGCTACACTCCGGGCAGAAAAGAATCTTCCGATGTATGATGATGTCCCTGGGCTGAAAGCATTCCAAGCCACCCAGAAACCTGTTGTTCTGGGACTGCCTTACTAGGTGGGCTCCTCTAAGGAGTAGGGAGGCATCAAAAAGAGAGGAAGGGCAAACAGAAAATTAAAAAATCAATCGTGACAACTCCTGGCATGACCCACTAGACTAGAAGAAGGGAAAAGGAAGATGACAATGTCGTCATGGGTTGAATAAAGGAGCCCCCATCCTGTGTGGAATCTACGTCCTAAACTATGATCCCAAGTTAGCAGAGCCATTAGGAGTGCTGAACGTGTCCTACCTTCCGGAAGACAAATGATTCTTCATTGTACACTGGATTGAGACCATTGTTCATCACCATTCGAGTTCGGAATTCCTTACGAATAGTGTCGGTGGGCAACCCATACATGTCCACTTCTACATAGGTGCCTATTTTCTTATCTGATAAGAATTGACCTGATATGACCTGCAGTTACACAGAAATAGCATGTTAAGCCCGTCTGTAGTAATCAGTGGCAAATAATAATAATGATGATGATGATGATGTAGGTCATCTTTACTTCTGGAAATTTTACTTGTCTATTGAAATCATGCACACATGCTTTACAAACCAAACAGTATTTGACAACTACTGTGTGTAAAACAAAACCAAAAACAACTGTTCTAGGCAGAGATTCGACTACCAAGGATGTCTAGAATGAAAACAGAAAGAGTCCATTAATTATATGAAACAAAGAAAGTGTCCACAACATTTTTATTCACTTCAATGAAATAAAGCAACTGATTCAAATTTGCTCTAACACCCTCAGGTCTAAAATTCTGCTGGGCTGTGTTTCTTACTACTGGGAGCCCTGGTGGTGTAGTGGTTATGCGTTGAGCTGTTAACCACAAGGCCCACGGTTTGAAACCACCAGCCACTCGTCAGGAGAAAGGCGAGGCTTTCAACTCCCATAAAGTTATGGTCTCAAAAACCCAAAGGGGCAGTTCTACTGTGCCCTATAGGGTCACTATATTTTTAGGACTAGGTTTGTTTTCAGAGTCCTGAAAAGACTCAAGAAAAAAGCAATTCTGGAATTTGCCTGTTATGCCTTCGTTACAGAACACCAGCCAGCGAAGGTAATGTTACCTATCTTATGCATTATTAATGAGCAAAATTAAAATCTAGCTAATAAGGCTGGGGAGAGACTATTTTTCTTTTAGTTGTAAAATCCCTATAGCCATCCAGCTAAAGTTTTTCACATGATCTAACAGTCAGTAATTAAAAAGCATCTTTGCTGAGGGGTAATTCACATACAGCATATTTTTCAGGTGCACAATTTATGAGTTTTAACACAATCACACCTGTGAACCCTTCACCACAATGAAGGTAACACACATTTCCAGCAGCCCAGTAGTGTGTGCCCTTCCCCACTCCCCACATAGAGCAGTCGCTTCTGTCACCACACTTTATTTTGCATTTTCGGAGAGTTTACATTTATATAATACCTGGGGTAAAATGCCAGAAAATCTTTGATTTGGTATTTTTCATCCAAACTAGTTAATAATTTTACTGGTTACAAAAAGGTATGCTATGTAGAAAAAAAAGGAGTGAATTCACCTGGACTTGTAACCTATAATACTAAACCTTACTATGAAGTGTGCTTTTAACGAATTTCCCAGCGTCCTTTTCTTTGCCACCTCTCTAGTGCTGTGAAGAAGGGCTCTGTGAAAGCTCCGCTAGTCAAGCTGCAATGTCATTTCCAGACTACCCCGAAGAAAGGGCAGCACATGCCACCATTTGTACAGGGACCTCACCTGCACTGAGCAAGTGGCTGCAATCACCCCATCGACGGGAGTTTCGGAGAAGGGATCAAATGTGCGATCTGGTCGCCTCATGAAGTCTGGTTTGAGAAGGTACCTGGGGAGGCAAATGTAGAGGAAGAGCTTGTTTCAGTAACCGCGTTCATGAACTTGACCTTCTTTGAGACACTGAGTATTTCCTTTCCTTCTTAAGTGCTAGGATTTTAGGATGGCAAGTTCGAAGCACTGAACTAGGGGTTTCTAAAGATAGCTAGAAAAATACCACCCTATGACATGGACAGATATTCTAAAACATGTTCTTTACTTATTCTAAAGGAAAATAGCCCTCTCCCCTCTCCCTCTCCCGCCACCCTAGTTGATGGGTTTAAATAGCAAAGAACCAAATTTAGAGAATTAAATCTCTTATTTTTCTTAGAAGCATAAATTTCTATCAATTCTAAACTTATGAGCTCTTAAAATACAACAAGTTAGGATATTTTTCTTAAATAAAAGTTTTATGTCACACTTGCTGGTTTTGACCAAAACCATTCACTGTTAGTGTGAAAAAGCAACCTCATGTTCAACATAGATTACCAAACAGAACCTCTGAAAGAGAGCAACGGATATTTTGATCAAGTCCTTGTTGTTGTTGTTAGGTGTGGTTGAGGATGTTACAACTCATGGGAACCTCGTGTTGAATGTGGCCCTTTGACATCTTCACAGCCATTGCTGTAGCTCAGTATTCCATTACCAGCACCGCATTAATGCACCTGGATGAGCGTCTTCCTCTTTTTCACCGACCCTCCGCTTTACCAAGCAGGATCTTCGTCTCTACTTGGTCCCTACATTTGGATAAATGTCCGAAGTACATCTGGCTGTACCTCTGTGAATAAAGATTGTTCTTCTGGTTGTTTTTGTTAAGTGCCATCAAGTCAGGTCTGGCCCGGATCAACCCTATGCACAACAGAAGGGAAGGTGGTATATCCCCAATTGTGCCTGTGATATCACCAATTGTGCCTGTGCTACGCCCATTGTTGAAGCTAGTGTTAGTCCATGCTGTGGAAGGGCTTCCTCTTTTTCGTTGCCCCCCTACTTTACCAAGTATGTAAGACGGAGTCCTGCCATCCTTGCCTCTAGTCATGGTACTTCCAATTCTTTGCCAGCACCATGATTCAAA